TCCGGACCTGGGTTCGTGTTCTGTGCGTGTCACGGAGGCTGCCTGCCGTCGCGGTGTGAAGGGGTATGTGACAATGCCTCTTGCTTCCCCTCTGAAGGAATCGGTTCTAATTCTGTCAGGAGAATCGTTACTGACTTTTTTTCACAGAATTCATTTCACAGAATAATTCAGCCTTTTCCTGCCAGGAAATCTGCTACTAAATCATCTCTAATCACTAGACTCTCTGCCCTGCTTTCCAAGCCTGTTATTCCAAGCAATGGGTCTTCAAAACCAGTTCAACCACTTGAATTATAAATTAGAATTATTTTTCTGGGACCGTTACCTTATTGGCACCAGATTTCCTTTTCATATCACAGCAAGTGGCCTGCCGGGATTACGGGCTCTCTCTACGCTCCACGTGGGGACACAGACATATCTCTGAATGTTGCTTTGCAGAACCTTTTTGAGATTGAGTCAGAATGGAACGCGAGTATATGGAGAAGCTCAACAACTACTGTCTAAAGAATAAATTCCACCTGGTTTATGCCGACTTCACGTCGACTGTCCCACGTAGTAATCCTGAGTAAGTTCACTATGCATGTCAATAACCATCAGGACTTTCTGCAATGAATGAACTGGGTAAAGCTTGCAATCATAACAGTTAATTTGCTGAAAGTGTATATGTGGCAAGAAAGATGGTTGAAACCATAAACTGGGTGGTGGGTGGGTGGGGAGGATACAATGTGATAGAGTTTGATGTGAAAACATATTTCAGAGTTGGTGGCCTTTTTTTGGAAAGTAATGGAATGGCATCTGCCATGAAATCCCTCTGGAGGTGGGGTGGGTTGCAGCAAGTATTTCAGTTTGTGATGTAGTGCTTTGATATTTATTTAGTTTTACAAAGCATGGAAATTATTTGTGTTTTACGTTGTTAATTTCTAACCATAAAGGTTGAGTGTATATTAATTGATAGGGTACCAATATGTTTTACATGTAGTTCATTTTTGAACATCTGTTACAAGAGAAGGTTTTTTTGCTTAATCACTTTTGCTTTTACTTGTAGAGACATTTATAGGTGGTGGAATGTGTTTTATTTTTTAAAACAAATGTGTTTTGCTAATTTTTTTCCCTTGACAGAGATTATTGATTATCTAAGATGTTTCCTTGTGTGATTTCTTTTTTATTTTTCCTAGTTTGCATGAAGACAAGCCTTATGCTAATAATTAGTATATTTAATTATTAAATTAAACATCCATGTTGCCAGCCAGCACTGTCTGTGCTGACTTACTCTTAGACCTGCCCATAGTTCTGGAATAAATTAAGTATTAGCGGAGTCTCAAAGGTTAATCAGTTATCTGAATATTTTCCCCATGTGGCTCATATAATTGAAAAAAGTAACCCTTATCGCAGCAATGGCCACAGCTGTGGTGACACAGCTACATCCCCATGCTTCAAAAGTGATGGCATGGGACTAACCGGATTTACAGACATTTCAAATTTGTCCCACTTACTGTGCTTCTTCATTTTTTTTCTGTGTGCTCTGCTACATTCACAACTATAATTCAACCCATTCTCTTGTATCTGTAAGTAATGTGACGAGTGACAGTGGTATCTAGGAAAATCCTGGATAACTTGGGCTGTTCCAAGGAGTACAATGTACAGTGTCTGACTACAGCAACAAGTGCTATAAACCTCCTTCCGTGCCCTTGTGCTGCTCTTTGCCAGTGCTCTGCTGCTAATGGGATGCATTGGCCACTGCTGGTCCTGAGCTGGCTACTTAACTCTTCTGTGCTGTGTCCCATCTCGTAAGTCCTCCTGCAGTTGTCTGAGGCATGATGCAGAGACACCTTCTGTCATTGCCTCCCAACCTGTCTGGGCTTTGGTGCTGTAGCTGCTTGCACCGCAGTGTCTGGCAGGGTCCGTGCTGAACACAGTGTAAGAAGGTTGAGAGAGCCCAGGCTGGCTGAGTCCTGAGTGGCTGTGAGCTTCCTTGGGCTGAGAACGCAGTGTGTGGACAACCAGGCCAGTCCTGCCTAAACCTGTCAAATCTGTGCAGTGCTTATTAACTCGGGGTTCCTGACTGTACATTTGGGACCAACGCAGGTAACACTCATTCACATAATCTTCACCTCAGATCATTAACTTGTGAGTCATTGAGACTCAAGACTGCAGATTTCCTCAAAAAAATAGTGAATTTTGAATGTAAAGTCATGGCTGAATATGTGTAGTATTCAGCACTTAGATATGGGTTGACTAACAAACCCTTTCCCAAAGAATGATCTTTCTGCCCTTTTTGGTTTTTTTTGTTGTTGTTTCCTATGTGTAGAGTTTGCAGCACACTGTAGTGTGCCTTGTCCTACTGTTTACCTCCTTAAGCTCTCTTGTTAAGGCGACTGCAAGCACTCTTCTGCATCTGCATTGTTTACCACCCAAACATTTCATTAAAGGGAAGTGGAGAGTGAAGCTGGAATAATGAAAAAAGTGAATTCCTGAAGTCACTCCACTCTTTGAGACAAATTATCCCACAGAGAAGGGAAATACCCTTCCCACGTAGGAAGAAATATACTATACCACAAATACTAGAAATACCTCCGCAGTGAACTGATAGTACTTTGTACATAATAAAGAGAAAGTTGAATCTGAGAGGGTTATTAAGTATATATGAGACAAAATGTAACAATGTTTTACAAAAGTTTCTTTCATTGCAGGTTCACATTTGTGGTTAAAATAAACGGCAAAGAATATGGTACAGGCATTGGTAAAAATAAGAAGGACGCAAAAGCAGTAGCAGCAAAAAAAACCTGGGAAATTATTGAGAAACAGGTGAGTAAATGGTAGGATTTAATTTTTCTTTTTCTTTTTTTTTTTTTTTGCTAGTAAAGGTTGAAGATCAATCTTTAAAAGTAGCCAATAAATATCAATGTTTTCTTTAATCTGAAAGAGTTTCTAATTATTTATTTAAGTTGTCCTTGTTCTGTCTTATTCAGTGCTTTTCTACTTCTTACCCCTGAACTATTTTCCTTATTGTTCTGCTACAAGGTTGGTATGTAATATCAAGAGTGCTTCCTCCTCTGCTCTTATAGGAGGATGAGGAAATGTGTTTGTTAAGCTGTCTTCGTATATCCAGAGTGGACAGTATTCCTTTTTCATCTTGACAACTGTTCAGTAATTCAACGTCTTCAAAACATTTGCAGGGCATTGTTCAGTGTGTCTATTGTCACACTGCTCATAAAATGGCTTAGTTCCACTTGATCTGATTCATCTTTTTCCCTGTCATCACATTCCTTACAGTATAGCTGATTCTATGCTTTTTATCCTTCCTTAATTTAGTTTCAGTTTGAATTTTTTTCTTCTGTCTTCTGCTATGTGTTCTGTGGCAGCCATTCTTATTTTTCTTTTTTACTCTGAATGCTTCTTAGCATCTTTTGACTGAAATCTTTCCTTACCTGTTTCCATATGTTTTTTACTGCGTCACCACCATTACTTTAACACAATTGCTGCACGTTTGCTAGTGTGTTATTAGTGTGGCCTAATCATGAGGCAGCTGAAAAGTCCTGCTTTACCCTCTGGTACATGGACAGGAGCATTTGCAGCCCTTGCTAATGGCAGCATCAGCAGCATCCTGTTGCCATCTCTTTTCTTGTCTCTTGTCAGGCTGTAATTTTTTGTAATGAGACATTTCGCAGCTTGTTCCCTGTCTTTTCTTAAAAGAGGTGGGAGGAGACATGGTGATAGGTTGTTAAAGACATGGTTGCAGTACTTGGAACTGGATTTATGTTTCTTTAGAAATTAAAAATGTAATAATTCTGGGTTGGGATGGCTGTCCTTTGCCACAAGGGACTCTGTTAATACAAACTTGTGATTTTTAAAAAATATTTTGAAATGCTGACAAACCTCGCAGCTATATTAGATCTTGTGCACTGTTTATCTTAATCTATTTACTAAGCTTAAGTTTTTAAGTTACCTACTTTGTTTGTTTTATAGACAGAGAGTCCTTCAAACATGCAAGCTGCAGAACCAATGCCAACTCCAGCGACCTTATCACCTGCACTAGACAACAACTATATTGGCCGACTAAATACATATTCACAAAAGACACGTGAAACAGTTGATTACTCCACAAAATGTACTGGAGAAGCCCATGCTCCCAGGTAAGATGGACTGAGTCTTCGTACTTGCTTTTAATACTTCTTGGTGTTTACTAGCACTACCATTAGTTACCCTCAGTAGTGTTAGATGAATCTTTAGAAATAGAATAAAAATTCGGAGGTAGTCTGGAGAAAATCCAGTAGAGGGCTACCAGGGTGGTTAAGGAGTTGGAGGATGTGGCGTAGGAGGAGAGGCTAAGAGGACTGAGTTTGTTTAGCTGTGAGAAGAGGTGGCATGATGAGAAAATGGTAATCAGTGTTGACAGATTGTCAGGTGTCTTAGCTGTAGCTCTGGCACCCTTGTGGACATCTTGATATATATTTTGGAGCCCTAGGCACCAAGTGCTAAGGAGAGCCCCTTTTGTGTTCCCTTCTGTATGTGTTGCAGTCAGTGAGTTGTAGAAATGTTTCAGGTAATAACAGCTGAGGGATGATAAAGAACATCTGTTTCACTCTCTTGACAATATCTGCTGGAAGACTCCTCCTCTCTTCCCCTGTAACTTTGGTTGTCTTGAAGGCATGTCACATTAGTTATCTACCGTTATTAATTAGATTAAATGTATATTGGAAATGCTGTCCTGAAGATGTATATTTCAGATCTCCATTCTATAATGTCAGTTGACTGTAGTGTTCAAATCATTAAGTTAAGACTTGTCTCATGGGATATAAGACTTCTGTTTCCTGTGGTATTTTGCAGGTTTTCTTGTAGCTGTATAATTAGTGGTTTTGTGTATGGAATTGGCACTGGACCTTCTCAAGCTACTGCAAAACAAGCTGCTGCAAAAGAAGCATATGAGAAGCTATGTAAGGAAGGCACTATAACAGTATGTGCTATATTTAGCCTTAAGACATAAGTTTAATTTTTGTATCTTTAATCTTTGAACAGATTTCCTCATTGTATTTAAAAGCGTATTCCATGGGTTCCACTTAAGAGGGAAACAATCCATATTTTGGTGGGTTGCTTGGGCTATAGGATTCTGTCAGTAAAATTTGTGTTGTGTTTCTATATTCAGTTGCTGGATTAAAAAAAACCTCAGTTGATATATCTGTGTATTTCAGGATGTGGTCTGATATGTTGTCATTCAAGGGTGCACATGTGTTAAAAACTTCTGAATCCTGACTATTCCAATACACAGGTTGTCTCCTGTATGAAATGGTGTCGAGGTGACAGGCTATGAACCTAAATCCGTTCTGTTGGATCAAAAATCTATTGTGAAATGTGAGAAAGGCAAAAGCAGGAGTGAGAATCAACAGGACTTGCCTCCTGTAGCATTCCAGGGCAGTCTAGTGAAGCAGTTGCTAACACCATCCTCTGGAGAGCAGCACTGTTGTCTTCATGTTGGCAATTTTTTTCCATATGTGCAAAAAAATTTTCAGATTTCTAATAGTGATCCAAACCCACTTCTGAAATGCACAAAACAGTACATATGAAGTAACTTAAACAAAATGTAGTTTAAAGGGAAGGAAGGCAGTACAAGGGAGGAAATAAATATTTTTTACTTTAAATACTTTTTTTCATTATTTGGCTGTTTACTGTGAATTTTAAATGTTTCTTTTATTGTTGTTTTCAAGTTAACAGTGTAATTAATGGCCTATTGTAGCTCTCAGATCCTTCCTTAATATTTTCCTGTGTGGCGAGCTCATGGGTCTTTGCATTTTTCATCAAAGTCTGAAATTTACTACCTCAAGCAGAGCCTCTGTAGCAATTATTCTAAATTGGGGGTGGGCTGTTTAGGTTTGGCTTCTTATTTTTATTAATTCCCAGCAGTGTCTGTGTAACAAACAAAATGTAACTAGCAAAAAGTAGTCCTGTCCTCCTACTCTGTTTTTTGGCTATCACTGAAACATAAACTCTAAGGTTTTTTACTTTTTTTCAGGTTATGCTCTTTAACAATTGTAGGTATTGTTTTTGCTGTTACATTTATGCTCTTATGACATAGAGAAAAAAAGGGGGGGGGAGGGAAGAACCTCTAGTTCCTAATTAATGATCTTGATAACCATTCTTGTTTTTTCTTTTTCGAGGAGGGAAGTGAAAAATCTAACACCAATTCTACATCTAGGGAACATGTTCATTGCTCTGAAGTGCCAACTCAGTCTGACTCAATGTAAGTTGGGTTCACTGCTAATGTGATAACAAAATGGATTTACTAATTCCAGAGGGTCATGTGATAAAGAAAATCTGTCATAGTTTCTTTACTGCAGTATAATGCTGTTTATATTGGATTTCTTAGACTTCAGAGCAAAATTTGTTGTATTGTGCAATTTCAGTTCTTACAGGTTAGCCTATAATAATTTGAGAGCTTTCTGATATATTTGTATTTTATCATGAGTAGTTCTTTCAGAAGCATTTTTAGTGTGATGTAAACGGAGTAATCGTCCTCATTCAGTAGCATTGTTTCATGACATTTTTAACATTATTTTCCTATTGTGACACTCTTGTGAGCTCAGTATAATTAAATTTCACTACTTTTCTGTGCTCCACATTCTGTTTTCTTCTCTATTTTTTCTTTTTTTACTCTCCATAAATCTTCTTTTTTACCAAAGAGAAGATTTGCTTAGCAAAAGAAAACGACCATACATAAGGTTTCATTTGTAGTTTGGGAACCCTTGGTCAAGTCTTTTGTGTCCAGCAGTTAATTTGACTGTAGTGCCAGTACCACTTCTTTTATGTTCTTTTTGTGATTGTGAAGCAAGCTGATATGTACAATGCTAGAGGTGGCTGCACTGCATTGAAATAAACCTATTTAACCAATTTAATTAGAGGATATAATAGGATATATATCATATCATATATATACAAAATATCATATGATATAATATCATAGAAATAGAGGAGTATATTACAAAATGTTATTGTTTTATTAGCTTTCCAGCAGAAAGTTTTGCAGTTTAAATCAGTCATGATTTTATTACTTTTTCAGGTTTTCCTTTTAAAAACTGTGTATTTTTAATGCTTCTTTTTTCTTGTGGCAATAATTGTATTTAAGATTGTGTTACCTTCACCTAAAACCAGTCTTATTATTTTTCAATAACAGCAGTATTTTCTTTAAAGACTCAGCTGGAGGCTTGGTAGAAAAAGTGAAAGACATGGCAATATGTGAAAAGCCTTCACCTTCTCAGGTATAGTGCGAAAATAATGATGTTTTAGACCTCGACTAGAGCAAGCTTCTTGTCAGAGTGTAGCATCAGTTTGTTCTTTTATCCACTAATCACTAGAAAACACGTGCACTTTTCCTAAGAATATACAGTGCTTTCTTAATTAGTCATTTACTTCTATGCTCTAGACCCAATTTATGTACTCTTGGCCAGTGGGCAGTACTCCCGAGAAAGGGGATGAACCTAAGCTCATATTTTCCTGTGGGAAGAATGATGATGTCATACATAGGATATATGAAAAATTTAAGCTAAGATATGGCTTCATTCTCATTACGTTGTTTATATAAGGTATGAACACATTTATAGACAATTCCTAGATACATTCTCAGGCACATTTTAAAATAAGTATAGTGAAAATATTCAGGATATCTCAGGTTTTTTTTTTCCTCTTTTTCATGTAGAGACATGCACAAAGTTCTGCCCTGAAACCCCAAAGGTACGTGTTTATTTCTAGGTTGCTATCTCCCATAAACTATATTGCAAACCACCTCAGTGTTTCTGTATCTAGCAAAGAAATGCCACTGCTGGGAGGTACATTCCTTTTCTTGTCACACATGGCTCATTGTAAGTTTTGCTTTTATCCTTGTTAAAGAAAATTGGCAGCTAATTTTGCTAATGCAAGAAGCAAGGAAGAGAAAAAAAATATGCCAGATTCAGATGAAGATTTGACAAATTTGGACACAAATACCAGTGAGGAGAATGAAAATCCATACACTGTGAATAAAAGGTAAGAAGGATTTTCTTTTAAACAAGATCTGCATAGCAATTACACTATGTAGTTGTCTAGATTTGTTTGTTTACTGATAATAGAATGTGGGAAAACACTGCTGTAGCACTAACTTTCCAAGAAAACTGGTATTTGAGCTATTATTCTTTTTTCTGGAAATTTCAAATATAGTATAGCAACTGACATGCAATGATATTTAATGCTTACAACCAAAAATCATTTGTGTGAAGATGTGAAGGTAGTTACCCTACGTGCTTTCTAGGGTCAGTTTCTCTTGTTTTTGTTTTTTTTTTTAATCTTCAAGACTATGATTTAGGCCTGCATAGGTTTTGAGTGATCCCTATAGAATGATATTTCAGCAGATGTATTAGATCTGTCAGGATCATTTTTATATCTTGCAAATTTATTGTTAAGTATACTTCCGTTATGTTTTTTTTTTTTTTAAGATTTCTTGAGAGTTTTAAAAATATAGAGCCTATTGGTGAAGGTGGTTTTGGGAATGTTTTCAAAGCAACTGCAAAGATTGATGAGAGAACCTATGCAATCAAACGAGTTCCCTTCACAAAGTATGTACTGCATATTCACTTCTGGTTTTATTTTAGGAAAACCTTAATCAAGATTTCACTACTTTCTTTTGTCTCTTTAATAATCCTAGGAGCATTTAAGGACTTTTCATTATTAATTGTCCATTCTTTCTGATAAACTGTTTTCTTTATTTCTAAGTGAAGCTGAAAATGGCATGCAACTTTGTTAATTTTTGCATGCACTTGAATAATTTCATATGCAGCTGATAAAAAAAGTAATTTGTTAAGTTCTATTTTCCCTGAACACACTAGTGCTCTGGTCATTAATGTCGCAAAATGCGTTTGAAGAAAACATGCTGATTAATGAAACACTGAAAGCAGTGCTGTTAGTTTTGACAGGTTACATGGAAAATTTCCATATCAGTAATACATAACAACTATTGTTAGGGAAAATAGAGAAAAAAATGAAAGTCACACATTTTGTGGTTTGTAATTGGAAAATGCCTTATGTAAGACCTATGTAGTCATTATTCTAACACCGCCACTTGTCCTTTATAAACCTCAACAGAGAATGATGATCTTAATTTTTTTTAAAAGTAATTTTCTGTAACCAGTATCTAGCGGAGTATTTTATCAGCAGCTGAAAAACTTGTTCTTTCAGGTAATCTATTCAAAAAGTTTTAAGTTGTTGGAGATGCTTGTCCCTTACATTGTGTTGTAACTGCCCTTCAAATTCTTGTGTTCTTTACAAATATGTGTTATTTTCATTTCTATTGCAATCCTGAGAACTGTACTGAAAACATTCTACTGATTCTTCACATAAAGACTGCTGGTCTGCTGATGGGTTTGAACTGACTTCATTAGGCAATGTTGCCACAAGAAGTATAGGCCAAATTTAGTAATTTCTTCATGAGTATTTATGCTAACTTCTGTACATGTAAACAGACTTCATAGAGGTGAAAAGAAAACATGGGTGTTTGCTACATTGTGTTTGGCTACCTAATGTAGTTACGCATTGCAAGTATCTGCTTTTTTTCCTTTTTTTTTGAGGGGGGCTTTCATTTCTAATATGGTTAAACGTTTTTGCACTTGAAGGAGAATATTATTTTTCTAAATGAGTGTAGAGCTATCTGTATACTGCTACTTGATATCTTTTGCTTAACTTAATATTGAATTTCTCAAGGGAAATGCCATTTATTTTTTCTTTTTCTTTCTTCCCACCTCCTCCTCCTCTTCACCCCCAATAGGAATGTGAAGCGTGAAGTTACAGAACTTGCAAGACTTGAACATGAAAACATAGTGCGGTATTATTTCAGCTGGAAAGGGTGCGACCGTTATCCAGGCTCAAGGTAACTTGAGTTTGCACTCACAACCTTGTTTGCCATAGTGAATTTTGTGTTGTAAAAAGAAAGGCTGACTGGTTATAAATCATTATACAAATATAAATGCTTGCACATACTTACTATTAGGAAAAAGGCACAGTACTTTTCAGCAGCAGGTCATATATAATTATGTATATTCATATCTTCTTTTCCTTGATGAATAAGTGTCGTGGTTTAACCCCAGCACAGCAACTTACCACATAGCTGCTTGCCCTCCCTCCGCCCTGGGATGGAGGAGAGAATCAGAAGCGTAAAAGTGAGAGAACTGATGGGTTGAGGTAAAGACAGTTTGACAGGTAAATCAAAAGCTGCGCACACAAGGAAGGCAAAACAAGGAATTAATTCACTACTTCCCATCAGCAGGCAGGTGTTTAGCCATCTCCAGGAAAGCAGTCCTCCATCACGTGAACGTCTCCCACTTTCTTCTTCTTCCCCCAGCTTCATATGCTGAGCATGGTGCCACATGGTAGGGGATATCCCTTTGGTCAGCTGTCCCAGCTGTGTCCCCTCCCAGCTTCTTGTGCACGCCCAGCCTACTCGCTGGTGGGGTGGGGTAAGAAGCAGAAAAGGCCTTGGCTCTGTGTGAGCACTGCTCAGCAGTAACAAATACATCCCTGTGTTATCAACACTGTTTCCAGCACAAATCCAAAACATAGCCCCATACTAGCTACCATGAAGAAAATTAACTCTGTCTCAGCCAAAACCAGCACAATAAGATACATTATGTAATTTTTTCTTTCTCCTCTCTCTTAGTATACAGAACTTGCTGAATCTATGGAGAAGTGTAATGCAGAACTCAAAATTTGGGGCTAGAACAGAAGCTAAAACATTGTCTGGCAGTTGGCTGCCAAATTCCTGATCAGAAGTTTCTTTCTTTTAATAAGTAGTGGCTAGCCAGTAGCTCTCACGAATTTAATAGTTTATCTTAAGTTAGCATTTTAATCATGATGCCTGAAACAGTTTTCATTTGTTGAGAACAGAAACACAAAATGCTCTTTCAACACTAAGACTTCTGGGAAGACAGTGAGAGTTTTACTCATAAGTTAGGTTATTAGCTTTTCAAAGCTTCTATAGTAAGTTTTTTCACTAGCTGTAAATTCATACTCTTCAAATACGTTGCCACACTTACCTAGAGCCATAAAATATTAATGGATTCAAAATTATGGTTGGCATGGTATCTGTTCAGCATGCTCAGTAAATGAGGAATAAAATGGGGAGAAAAAAAGTCTTGTCTCAAAACCCAACCACTAATATGTGGGAGTCTCAATATCACTTATGCATTTTTATATTGAACAGTTATTGGGTAAAAGAGAGAAATAAAATTCCTCAAAGCTGATGTCACAGCCTGGAATTCCTTTGCATCCTGATCTGAAGGCTACAGAGAGTCCCGAGCCACATGATGCTTGTTCTTTCAGTGCCTCAGGCAGCGTTATTCGAGGGCACTCAGATCACACAGGGCAACTACGAAAAAGTAGTGCCTCCTCTCCGTATTGTCCTTCCCCTCACCATCCCCAGCCTCAGCCTATCCAACAGGCTGATGGTGAGGCAACTCTTCTGGAAAGTGTGAGGCTGTCAGGTGGGTGAATATATTTCTTTTATGAGTTTCTTTTGCAGGCAAAAGGCAGACAAAGAAGTTCTCTATCTTTTCATCCAAATGGAATTATGTGAACGGGGAACATTGGAAAACTGGATTGACAACAGACAAGACCGAAAGGATCATAAGATGGCACAAAACAAATTTTTACAAATACTGAAAGGAATGGAATATATTCATTCTAAAGAGTTAATTCATCGAGACCTCAAGGTATGTAGGATAGGTAATTAAAAAAAATTAAAATAGTACTTATTGGAATTTTAGAAAATGTTAAATTGTTCTAGTCTTGGTTTAGTCTATTATGTACCCTTGTAGTGTGCCTCTTCTGATATTGCTAGTGATTAATTCTATCTCAGCAACTTCATCCTAAAATCAGAAGATAAACTGGAGGATCTCAGAATGCAGTAGTTCAAAAAATCAGTAGTCATCAGTTAACGGGTGTTTTCAGTGTATGATGTGTTACTGGGTCACAAGACTGCCTATTGGAAAAAGAAATACTAACTTTACTTGATAAAATAATTAAAATAAATAAAGTGAAAAGTTGAGTCTGGGAAATATGCTCTTGATGTATTGTAGAAGGATAGTTTATCTGCTCCAATACATGATGTGTCTGATAACAACATACGCTGGTATCACATATGCATACCAATATTTGAATGCTACTTTTTTGGATAGAATTTCAGTCTCTGCAAGTGCACAATCATAAAATATTTTATTTCAATCTAAATATTATAAAGGAAAAAGTTGCAAGCCTTCAGGACTTCACATGTCGGCTATAATGTTGCTTACAGAGTTTTAAATCACTCGCTTTGTGAAAAAGTCGTTGCTGTGGTGGTGTTCCTAAAAGCGGCTGTAGTGGGTCACATTAAATGTTGATCTAGGATACTGTTCTCCCCATATAGGGGCTAATTCCAAACACCTAGAGAGTATTACAGCTGAGAGATGATACAGGGATGCTGTCCTTGATGCACATTCCTTTCCTTTCAAGACTTCCAGTAACCTGAAGCTTATGGACTTCTTGAGCCAGAGATTGAAGTATTTTGCATTCACAGTGTAGTTCCAGATCATGTTCACTGCCCGCTCGTAGAATCTTTTCTTATGGACACGTTCATATCTTCTGGAGGTTTCCTATCAGGCTTATTGCTACAATAGTGGAATGAACCACAAATATACACTCATTATCTTCCCCAGATGCCTGGGAAAAGAGGTCTAATAAGTGCCTTCTCTCATCACCCATCTTCGCTCTCCCCACTCTGCTTTGTATTTTCTTGCTGCTTCAGTTCTACTTTATTTTAATCTCAGCTCAATCTCCTACTTTTCCCTATTCCTATGAATCTGCTGCCCCGGTCCCTTACCCATGGCATCTGGCTGTAACCTGCTTCCAGGTCCTGCTGATAACTTCTGTGTCTGCATTTGAATTTAGGAAATTTTCTCCCCACTTTGATCTGCTGTCAACTTAGATGCTTGGCCATCTGAGATCTCCATATCCCAGAATCAAAGCTGCAGGATAGGTTCAAGCTGAGATGAATCCCGTTTGTGCCTGGTATGAACGGAGTCTTCAAATAGTGTAGCCAGGTATAGGTACTGTATTAAATGTGTGTGGACATGGTGAAACTCGAACAGAACTGCATTGGGCGTTCCTGACACAAAGATCTCCTCCTGTTAAATATTAAGTCTCTCCTGGCCTTACAGTCCACTCTAGCTTCTTTGTAGCATGAGGCTATTTGGTTTTGTTTTAATAACATTCAGAAATGTAGTTTCTTCTGATAAAGACTGAAGACTAAAAAGCACTTCTGGATATGAAATGTTGTATGCACAAGGTATCTGAACAACATTACAGTGTGACACAGTTATGACTCTGCCAGTGGAAAAAAAAAGTTGCAGTTACTGTGGCATGTACTACTTCAAATTTAGTTTGTGGTTTTTAAAAATTCATTGAACTTTGTTTCTTACCCCATTGGTTTCTTAATGCTGATTTCTATGAATAGTTATCAAATTTTACGGGGAGCACTTCTGTGGCTAATTATGCTTGATGATAAATGTTGGTCATGTGGTGATTTTTTTTTTTAACATATATATAGCCTCAGAATATATTCATATCACGTGAAGATAAAGTAAAAATAGGTGACTTCGGTCTTGTGACTTCCGCGGCATATGAGACTCTGACTGAGAACAGAGGAACAAAATCATATATGGCACCAGAACAGGTAATTACCCTGCTATATTAGTGTCTCTGTAACTAGATTTGCATTATAAACTCAGCATTGGATGTTCTCAATCCTGATCTTGGTCCTAAACCAAGTTGCCTAAAGTTCCCTGGTATGACCGTACATGAGGATGACTCTATTCTGGAAAAAGCTGTCTGCAAGTGTGATTTTATTTCGCTGCGCTAACCTACAGGGTCTGACACTGTGTGCTGTAAGGAATGCTCTTGCAAAACCAGGCTGCCAGCCATGTATTTCAAGATGAATGTAGGACCTCTGTTAACTGTAGCATTTGAGTCCTTCTGTTTGTTTCATTATTTGTGACAGAGCGATATCGGCATGCCTTATCTGTACAGGTCTGTGGAAGTCTTAATCTCAGTGTGTTTAATGTGACAGAAGAGTCACTATGTAACAGGTCTGTAGCAGAAGGGGTAACAACTCATCAAGTAGGGCCAGTCTTGTAGCCTTGGGGTGGGAATTTCTACTGACTTCAAATATTGCTTTAAGAAGTGCTGTCCCATTGGATTTGACACCTACATTGTTCCTGTTCTGATCTTTGTAGGTCAGGAATGACTATGGAAAGGAAGTAGATATTTATGCTCTTGGATTAATTTGGTTTGAAATTCTTTCGGCATTCACTCGTCATGAGAAAATGAAGGTATGTAATCTTTAAAAAAGTCTCACTGTCATGGTTTTGCCTTGCTGCTGATTTCACATGCTGATTGCATGCTAGAAGGAATCTGTATATCTAGAGTACTGCCTCTATTTACATTTTCCCCTTGACTCATTTCTGTAAGTCTTCACACCTCGGTTGCAAATGTAATAACTGAAGCAAAGAAATATTACTTTCACTTATGTCCTACTGGCCTACACATTAAAGCCTAAGCATGCTAAAGAATCATGCATAGCAAAAAAGATTTCAAGTTTCTGATAAATCTTTTTGTTTGGTTGGAGTATTTGAAGGGAATATTTTTCTAATTTTAGAAAATAAAAACTATGAATCGGGGAGATTTCTCTGCCATGCTTTCATCTTCACTGCACAGTGGAGTAAGAACAAAGTTTCTGTCAAGCCAAAACACTTGCAGTTTTCCAGAATTAAAACAAAAGTGATTTGGAATATGTAGCTTTAATTGAAAAAGATGGTACTTCAAAAAGAAAACCAGTGTTACTTAAGCTTTTTTTGAAAAGGTATAATCTTTTTTGTGTCTTTTGCTTTTTCTTGGTACTTTGCACATTACTAGCGTAATGGCTTGTATGCTCAACCCTGTGTATTTGTAGGACAGTGATGCAGCTGCTGAGTATTTTGTTTAAGGTAACTGTAAGCTATATGTACACGGTTGGCCCTAAAAGCTCTTGAACACTGTTAGCTTGGTCCTTTGCCAGTGTGAGAAAACCATACCAACGTGTCTGCTCAATGTGCAGGTTCAGCTTTGCTATGTTTAGCTTCTGTGTAGTGTTTTCTAACACATCCTGCTCACAGCTGCCTGCTTAAATGTGTCCACAGTCCCATGGTGTTTACAGTCAAAAGGGCAAGACCAATTATTTGATCTTGTTTTCTTAAAACATAAAAATCTTGTGTCTGTAGGCAGGTGGGCAAGTCATAGATGCAAAGTCCTAGGATGGTCTTCAGCTGTTCCATCTGCTTAAAAGATAATTTCACTTAATGGCACATGATAAGATAAACTCTGCTGTATGGTGCTGGCAAGCCCTGCTGAAAGAACATCATGCAAAAGCAAAGTCGATGATTATGAGCTGAGTAACTGTTTAGCTGATGAACACCACCATGTAGGGTCACAGGCCTAAAGCTATTACTGAAGAGTAGGGAAAAAGCTTGAAGTTCATGGGAGCTGTTGGTTTACTGGATACTGGTTGTAAGGGCTTGCTAAGCCAGGCTGTAGCATCAATAACAGTAGCTAACGATGCAGGATGCACAGCTAAGTGTGCAAGAACATGACTGTCATCTTCTTCAGGCACGTGTTATACAAATTGATGGCAAAGTGAATGATGTGGACGGCTCTGTTTGCCCATGTCCTGGTTTCAGCCGGGACAGGGTCAACTTTCTTCACAGCAGCTAGTGAGAGGCTGTGTTTTGGAGCTGTGCTGAGAAGAAGGCTGATAACATACTGATGTTTAGAGCTGCTGTCCGGACAGCTTCCCTGCTGCGCCAGTGCCTGCAGGTGCAGAAGCTGGGAGGGAGCACAGCCCCAGTTACTAGCCCGGGATTTGACCTTAGGTTTAGGACTGAGACCCAAACTGGGCAATCACATATTCCATATCATGCGCGTCAAGCCCGGTATATAGAGGAGGCTCTGTCCAGACGTTTAATCTCTCTGGGTCACCCCTGTCTCAGGGTTGTCTCGCTCTCTCAGTCAGCTCTTGGTCTCTTATCTCCTTTCCGGGATAAGTCCCTTGTGGTTTTGGGACTCTCCCTGCTTCCGGATCGTTAGCCAGGAATGGGCTGAGCCTTGGTCACTGGGTGGTGGGCAGCTGCACTGTATCATCACTCATTTGTATATATTACTATTATTATTATTTTCAATTATAGTGTAGTTTAGTTACTAAATTGTTCTGATCTCAACCCCCAAGTCTCTTTTCCCTTTACTCCTTTAATTCTCTCCTAGATTCCCAGGAAGGGGGAGGGTGAGCGAGTGGCTTTCTGGTGTTCATCTCCCAGCCAAGTTCAAAACCAAACATGTGGAAAAAAAACAGTTGTTACCCAGAAACAGTTTCTGAAAGCATACAATTAGAATTTCTCTACATTAGTTGCTTTGACCTCCATGTAGCATTTTCTGCAGTGACATAAATGTGTGGTACTGAACAAGGTAAACGGGAAGAAGCACACCTGCTTGGCTTGCAAATAGTAACATCCAAAGTAGGAAATGGAGTTGTCTTGCATTTTTTTTAATGTGACAAGAGGATATAAATCCACTACTTTTAAATTAAGGAAAGAAGGATAATGGTTCTGAGAGGTTTGCTGAAACAAACACATAATTGTAGAGTGTGAAGCTTTTAAGCTTAAAAGGACAAGAGGTGATGAAAACACCACAAAACCAAAACAAAGTACAAATAAATGGGAAAAACTTTCAAACTGTTTATAGTTACTTTCTTTTTGAAGCCTTACCTTTTTTTGTATATTTGTATTTTCTTAACTACTTCAGGAATTTATACGGGTTGTAAAGTGAGATGCAAAATATCATCAATGAAAACATACTGAAACTGTTCTTTTTCTGAATTTCAGGTATGGAGTGATGTTAGAGAAGGTAAACTTCCAAAGAGCTTCACCAATGAATTTCCAACGGAAGTATGGGATTTTAAAACATTATTTCAGTTAGTTTATTTACTCATAAAAATAATTTATTGACAATCAATTTCTTTTTGCAGGAGCCCATAATCAAAAAGATGCTTTCAAGAGACCCTTCAGTAAGATACTCTGCATCTGAAATACTTAACTTTTTGAAGTCTGTTGATAGAGGCAACACACATAAAGCTTGTAGTTATTAAATGCCCCTTTAAAAGGCTTTCAGACTGTGTTTAAATCCAGAGTTTGATGTCTATTGAAACTGAAGAAATAACAGTAAATGTCAGAAGAAACAGCAAGACTTTGGATATGTCTTCTCCTTGGTGTTTTGTCTTCCTGCCATTCAGGAGTTTGTTAGCCAAAAGAGTCACATCACCATTCACGCCCATCAGCATACTTCTGCAAGCAATCACTTGCGATTTTTACCTGGAAACACAAGTTGTGGGTGAGCTGAACTATATTGTACAATAAGCACAGGAAGCTAGTCCTTGTCTCCTAGAAGATGAAGCCAATGTGGTGCTAACTGGCCTGTGGCAAATGCCTGTATGCATGCTTGTAACATGTGCTGCATCCACTATCAGTTGAGGTTATTTACTGCTTTCCATGGAAGAAGTGCTGTCTTGTGGTATGTGACTCAAACCTTTCTGATTTGTTCAGTGATGTTTTTAAAGATTACCAGAATGCTCCAATTAATACTTTCATTAAGACTAATTTGGATAGAAAAAATACTAGGAATTAGGCATGGGTTATTCTTCCCTGAATTTCAGTTCTTTAAGGTGAACTTTCTTGTTCAACACACCGGTTGAACACCTAGCACCTTCAGTGCTATAGAATTTAAAACCACATACTTTTAAAGTAAGCATTCCTTGAGAATTGAGATGTTAAACATGCACTTTCTAGGAAATCTAGTTTAGATTTGTTCTAAACTTTTGAAAAACTTAGCTTTTGAGGTTTTGTTTTTTTTTCCTGAAAGGAACACTTAAGGTGCTCTTAATACAGCAAAATTCTCCAGTTTCCTCAGTAGTAGCCATTTTAAATCCTGTGCTAAGAGAGCACTTTAAACATTCTCTCATACTGCTAGGTTTTAATCTCTTACTGTAATACTGAGGCATTCAGTCTTAACAAGCATACGGCATACCTCTGATGGCCTTACTCTCAGCCCCACAACAGGTAACAGGAGTCTGCCTATTACTCTTTAGTTATATACTTCAAAGAGTTCAGATTTGCCTGGACTGGAAATTAGTCCTGCAGATGCCTGTCTTTGAGCTGTATGTCATCAGACTATTCATTGCTGTGGAACCCATGTAACTCCATAAAGGCAAATGAGATTTCTACACGAAGGAAAAGAGGTACTACTACTACTACTAAAGTACTGTATGCTTTTTCTGAAATGTTAAATAAGTTAAAAGTGGGTGCTTGGTTAAAAGGAATAATGTAAAGGAATGCACAGAAATTTTTATATTCTTATGGTAATTATTACTGATCTGTTGCAAGTATTTGTTGCTAAATAAGAATCTGATTTTACATCCTTTTCTAAGGCCTGGGGTTGTTTTTTTCTCCTTATCATGAATAAACAAATACATTGAGCACTTCACTATTCTAGACTAATTAGTATTTCTTTTCAGTGGTCAAGACCTGGGAGAAATTATATCCTGACACACAGAAAATACCAGTAGTTCCACTTTCTCCTCCCTTTCACCCATAAAAACTACTCTTATAATATGAAAATAGACACGTGACAAACTTTGGCTGAATATCCTCTGCAGTTCTTAGAGCACCCGTAATACCATTACCTTCTCACTGTTAAGTAATATTGAGCTTGTCCCAGTAGTTTTTGGTACTTCTTTTTGGTAGTATTTGTATACTTCAGCAGTACTATTAGTGACCGTTTACAGTAGCAACTGCTGTTCCCTAAAAATAAAAGTTCTATTAAAATATATTTTTTATATAAAAAAAACCTCCCAACATGATCTGGTACTACTTAATTATGCAAAATATGCACCTTTACATACAACAGCATATTGGTTCTAATAACATCCCTGTACTGTTTCACAAGCTTTTTTTTTTCCCCACCAGGTCTAAGATAGTAAGGGAAAAAAAAAATCTGTTTATGCATCTCTGTAAAGATGAAAAAAACCCATTTACCACATTATACAACAGAGTAACTAGCCAATATTTATTCCTTTACTCAGACTTGAATTTTATTATAGGCTGATCTTGTTCAGTTGGGCAGGGTATAACCAAAGACTGTTAGCCTCTCAGTTATGGCAGTTCCAATTATAAATGCAGAGTTTTAATTCCTATTAAACTGTGCATCAAGCAGAAGATCGATAAAATGCTTCCACAAACTATTTTTCTGCATACTGGTGTGAATTCTTCAGTATGGCACAGCTCTGAACCTTCTAGAAGATGTAAGGAGCTATACATACTTATCTAGAACTCCTTACTTTAGAAAGGCTTTAGTCATGATCTGCAGCACAGTCTCCAGGGCAGTTTGAAGCTAAATCTTCAGAGTCTACAGGGTAAGCAGAGAAAAAGTGAGTAATTCCAGCTCAGAGGAGGGGAAAAAAACCAGTTGCTAGAATTATTTGAAGAATCCATGTAAAGCAGATTAAATACAATTCAAGGTTTGCAAGTTATTAATTCCAAACTCTTTTTTAAAACAGTGAACACAAATTCTGCTCTCTTTGGTGTAGTGTTCTCACCATTTCAGAAACACCTGCAAGCTTTCACAGCTTTTTATGGTACTAGTTTTAATACCTGAATTTTGTTCTCTCAAAACAAAATTAATATGAATACCAATTCAAACAAATGACGGTATGGTTGGTTGGCGGTTTTTTTGTTTGTTTGGGTTTTTTTGTGCATGTAAACACCTAAAAGTTGGCTTATAATTAAAACATACAAAGCTTTGTGAAAAAAACAGCAGCTTGGAAGGAAATTTTGCTATGTAGATTTAAAAGACTGCAGTAAGAGAAACACAAAAGATATATATTGTACTAATTGCATCTAGCTGCATAAGCAAAGTAAAACACAAGACAGGTTTACTCTCACCTTCATAGGTTGTCCCACACCAAATGCAATAAAAGTGTTCTTTTCTCAAATAGGCAGTCAGGATGCGAAGCTTTTCTGATACCTAGAGACAGGTACAGGCATGCAGTGATCTGGGGCTCACGTGAAATAAAACAGTTTGAGCTCCTGGCTTTGCTAAAATAGATTGTTTCACTGTTTGCTATGAAAAAGCTACACCATATTGTAGCTCACTAAAGCATGAAGTTTGTATCGTTGTACCACACGATACAGGAATTCATGATCTCTGGAAAATTAATGGCTGTTGTTTGCTCATCCTTCTTTCCAGCTAAGAAACCTGCACTGCAGAGAAAGCTAAAAATATTACCTAGCTATCAAGTATATGATATTTTTGGTGGAATTTTTCACACCTAATCTCCACATATCAAACACATAAGGCTAACAACAGCTGTGTAATCTAGTTCTCAAAAAAAACCTCAATTTCCAGTGTCTATCTTGAGATAATCTGTGAAGCATTTCCAGAAATTACTTAGTGATTCTAAAATTCAGCCCAACACATGAGATGAGGCATCTAAAATTAAAACTCAAAAGCAAATAACTTTGATCAAACACATGATCTTGCATATCTTGGCTAAGACACAAAAATGTTTAGAATTTAATTTCTAGGCTACTTTTTCCAAGGATCAGCTTCAAAACAGATGAGCAATAAATCAGTTGTTTAATGTTTTACATTTTATCGTGTAACTGCTATAAAAATCACTCCTCTAAGATTACAAAGAGGCTATTCACTACAGCTTGGAAAATGGCATCTATACATATATCCTTTATATATACATACTTTTAAAAGGAATACTAAATTTAATTCTGAATCAAGCCATTAATTTTTAGTTGCAGAGCTTACGCTTAAGTCTGAGCTTGTGCATTCATCGTCATTGTCTTCCTCATCCTTTTTGTCTTCCTCTTCAGGTTCTAGCCAATACCAAGTCTCCTTGGGAACACTAATATCCTTAAATAAGAAGGAATTAAATGAAAATCATCTGCCTTTGTAGGTTTTTTTGTAAGACGCTGGATAAAAACAATTTTTAATAGGCGAGACATTACGTTTTAAAACTTTCCTGTATAGTATAAACAAGAATTACTAAAGCTGTAGTGGGAAACTAAGTACAGCGGTCCGTAAGATGGATTATTAACTTCTTTTAAAACAAGTAAATGCACGCTAACATTAAGTTCGAGTCCATCTATGTTGAGGACGTGAAATCTGATGATTCCCTCGATGGTGATCCCTGTCCTTGGACATACTCAAGAGCTGTCTGGACATGGTCCTGGACAACCTGTTTTAGGTGACCCTGCTTGAGCAGGAGGGTTGGACAAGATGACCTTCAGAGTCCCTTCCAACCTCAACCATTCTGGGATGATGCTGCTCCCTCACTTGAGGCAAACAGCACTGTCATGTAGGACAGCCTGACACTGGCTACTGAAAGATATGCAAATAGCTCAAAAGTAACCACAAGAATGGAAGAGCAAAAACAGGTGAGCTCTGATAATGCAAATTAACATGGGTCCTCACCTAAATTACCATGAGGTTGGTGTAACACCTTCAAATATCTTAAAGGTGCAAACATATACTTTGAAATACTTTAAGAGGACTGAAGTGTTGCCAAACATCAAGATTTCAGGCTAGCTATCCCACAACTTTAGAGAACTTCTAAGAATTGAATCACTACTTTGTTTGTAGCCTGTATCTCTAACCTATAAGCCTTCTTTCCAGCCAAAAAATATATAGGTCTCACTTTTTGCATATCTAATTGCTGGCAGGCCCTCTGGCTTTTTCGGAGGTCCCCTTCCATCTTACGTTCTTCTTGTTTGTTTTTGAATCTTACTCTGTTAAGAAAAAGTAGATGACAGCTAAAATAAACAAGTACACAAACAATGAGATGCATTGTAGTTGACAGCTTTTCTCAAATAGAAAATCTAAGGTTCTAGCCCTACTAATTCTCTTGGACCAGGACAATGTTGAAGTTAAGAAGTCCTTCTGATATTGTTTCTGTGGGAGGACACATGTATTTCTTGGGAATTATACCTTCAGGACAGTACTTTTTTGATCACGCTACACTGAACACTGTTTCTTCATCAGGTTTTCATAAGGCGTGAAAAAAGGGATTCAGTAAACACCTCC